GGAAAAGCTTGGGGAAAACGGAAAAAAAAAGAACTTCTTGCGTCATATTCACACGAATCGTGTGTCACACAGACGTGTTATATCCACGTACAGTGGGAAAGGCTGGAGGTGGCCTCTGGGAGAAGTTGGGAGACACATGTTTTTAAGCACCGTGACGTGGGGAAATGGTGACACCATCCCTGCTCTCATCTGGGGGAGAGTCATCTTCAGCCCCTTCCCTCCGTCTGTCCTCGCCGGCGGCGCTGAGATTCTCTCAGGTGATGTCAGATTCTGCAACAGGCTGAGTTAATGGGGAGGTGGGACCCTGCACACACACAAAAGAAGGTGCTTTTCATTTAAAAAATGAACTTAAATTACCCAAAGGAAGAGAATTTAGCTTCAGGGAGATGAAACTGAAATTAAGACTCTTCTTTTGGGTCAGGCTATACTGCAGGTGTCAGAGGGCTGGGAGGTGGGAGCCAGACCTCACGCTGATTTTGGGGACTTCGCAGGCGGCTCTGAAGCCCCGACCTGCCCTTTCCCGGTCATTAATAAAAGACAAAGCCAAAAAAAGATTTGCTTTTATAAAATAAAGAATAACTCATCTTTTCACTAGGTGTTTGGAGTATTTGTTTTTTGTGTTTGGGATGTGCCAATTTGTCAAGACCTTAATTTGGGGGAATGATTTATCTACGTTGAGACAACTGCCATTGGCAAAAGCTAATTCTACCCAGTGATGGAATTTTGGGTCAAAGTAGGAAAGGCAGACACAAAAAAAAGCGAGAAGGCACATCCTCAGCAACCTTATCAGCCAGGAGCAGGACAGAGCCACATTCCAGCTTCTGTGCCAATAAAAAAATTAATTATTCATACAAGTTCTTGTGGAGAGCAGAGGAAGACCAAGCACGGGGTGACCGAGAGCCTCCTCACCACCAGCGAGGTGGGAAGCGGCTGGGCCAGCAGGTTGCTGGGATGTGCCCGGCTTTTCCAGGAGTTCCCTCAAGCTGGAGGTGTTTGGGGGTGCTGGGAGGGTGAATGGGGTGGGTGATGCCATCAGTTTGGCTCCATCCCAGGAAAATGCAGGATCCTCCACAGGGTGTGAAAGCCCAAGAGGCCTGACTCTTCTCACAGAGCACCATCCAGTCTTTCGGTTCGAGATCAGATTTCGGCCCAAAGAAAACCAGAAATCAACATTTTAAAATGCTCTAATTGGGTCAATAATCTGCATTTTTAGATATTTATTATTAGAAATATTTATATTACAGTAGCTTGGTATTTTAGAAGGCTATAAATGCATTTTTATATAATCAGCATTTTTAAAAGTCTATAAACATCCACTATGTTTGCCTAATGTACTATAAAAGCTTCCAAAGGAGCTGTTATTATCCAACTTGTCACCTCACACATGCTCCGAGGAGGATTTTTTATTTTTTTTTTCCTTCTTGTCTGCTGTTAATAAAACGAAGCAAACCATTAACAGCTTTGGAGCTGCAAGGAGAAGTAGAGGGGCTTGTAATCTTGGACTCCAAAGGAGACGTCTGCAGCTCCGCTCCTCGCCTCTTTGAGATTCCCGACACGCAACAACAATTTCAAACAGACAAAATCAGTTTAGGTTACATAAATTCAAAAGCCCGAGCCTGCTTCTTTTAAAGTAACATCTTGCATTTTGTTTGGAGTGTTGCAAGCTCTCAGGGAACGTTTTGAACTGGTTCAGTTTTACAGCCTGCCGTGCGTCTTCCTCAGGTTTCTTTGGTTAAAGGAGCTTTGATGCAGAGTTATTATGTGCACACACACACACATACATTATTTTGCATACGCACATATGCAGGTTTATATGCATATATTTATGGGTGTATGCAAATATATAGACAAAAATGAAGTCTAGCAGGCTGAGGTGGCTGCACATTCAGGGCCCATCTTTCCTGGCACCCTCTGATGCCAGACTCCAAGCGCTACTGGTGCACGGAGCAAGCTCCAGACCAAGTCCTGATAAAAAGATGCCACACGTTTTGGAGGGGAACGCAGATATTTTAGTCCCTGTGAGCTCAAGGGCAAGTGTGGTGTAAATCAATTAGGGAAGGGAAGAAATCTGCTTGCAAAAAGGAGGTTTGGGTTTTAAGCAATCTCTTAATTCACATCTCAAGAGATTTGCTTTTTGGTTTGTCTCTGTTTATAGTTTGCTCCTGTTCCTGACACATCTTGGTGTTGGGATGGATTCTCAACCCCAGGGAACCTGTCAGGGATGTGATAACGACTCCCTCAATCCAAAGAAGGGCACGATGGCGCCTGCGATAGCGAGCGGATCCTCAGGGCTCTCTGCCTCTGGGACACGGGGATCCGCTTCCCCCGGGGACTCCGGGATTTTGGGTGGGATGGAAAATAGGGTGAGAATCTGTCGCTTTTGGCACTTGGGCTCTCAAAAACCCCAAGATGCTCCCCAGAGGGTAACAGGCAACAATCTCCCCCTGTGCTGGCTGGGCTGGTGTTTTGGGTAAAGGCTTTCCTGGATGAATTTGGGGTGGCCGTGGGGTGTGCTGGGGTGGAGAAGGATTTCCATGGCTTCAGTTACTGGAAGGGCACAGGCTGGGAAAACATTGAAAGTCCTGGCTGATGCCCCAGGGGGCAGCTTGGACATCCCTGCAGAGGTGGAAAGGAGAAGGAGAAAAAACCAATGGCTGCAGGTTGTGTCACTGCAGGGAATTCCTGGCTCTTCTGCAGGTAAAGGAGCTGGAGGAGCAAAGGGGACACTGGTGGTCACAAGGACCATGTTGGGACAGAGAAGCGGGGACGGGGGAGAAGCACTCCTGCAGGCTCTGTCCCCACTGCCAGTCCTGTGGGGGGTTCAGTCAGACAGACTGAAATGGCTCTGGCATGTCAGAGACACCAGATTCTGTGGGTTTTGCTGCCACACACCCCATCCTGGGCGATCTGACCGGTGACAGTGTGGAATGTCCTCTCCTTGGGACTCCGGGGGGCACTGAGGGAAATCCAAGGTCCCAGCACGGGTCCGGGAGAACCCTTGGCTGGGACAGAGAAAGAGCCACAGCAGCCCAGGACAGAGAGCAGACACGTCAGCCAAAGCAGCTATTTCTGGCATCATCCTCGGAGCCGGGGAGCTCAGACATGGGGAAGCACCGTTGGGACCTCCTGGGAGCCCTTCCCATCTCGTGGCACTCTGGGGTGGTTCCTGCAGGCATTTCCCATCCTTAGCAGACTTGCTATCAGCTCCCAACAAGTACGACAACCTCAGAGGAGTGTTGCCTGACGGTCGCACGCGGGTGTCCTAAGTGGAGGTATCCGTTGGGATGGGCACTGCTGGGTCTCTGCACGGCCCTGCACAGACCCCGTCACACGTCGCTCCACGTTCATTGATCACTGATGGCAGCAGAGGGTGTTGGGCACCTCGTTGGGGTTCTCACAAACTCCCCACCCTGGCTCTACCCCCAGCCACCACCACCCAAGCATGTGTTGGCAGATACTGGTCCCTCCAGCCCTGATCCCCCAAAGCTTGCCCATGGTGGTGGTCCATCAGCGGCATGAGGTGCCCTTGGGGTGTGAGGACGTGTTGTGGTCCTCCTGGGTGAGCTTCAGTGAGGTGGGTCAGCGCGGAGACCTGGAGTGAGCAGAGCTGGGGGGGGCACTGGATTTAGGAGGTGCTCCAGGATGAGGGTCCGCTGTAAACAAGTGGGACAGGTTGGCTGAATGAGGCCAATGCCATGTCTGTCATCATTTATCTGCCCGTTGGCTGAATGAGGCCAATGCCATGTCTGTTATCATTTATTCATCCCAAGGTGACCTCCCCAGGGCTCTGCTGGCCTGGACACCTTTACTTTGTTTCTAGACCAGTTTCTAGAGACGTTCACCTGCTTCTCTGGGTACGAGCCAAGGGCAGTGCCTGTGCTGCCAAAATTGCCCCTCCTCAGTGTGCTGCTGGGTGAAGCTCTGGAGCTGGGAAGCTTCCATGACCTCAAGGTCCAGGAGACACCACTGTGTTGGTGACCCACATTAACCCACCGTGGCGTCGGGGGTTCCTTGGCTGGTGATGGGACTCCCCAGTGTGGGGCAGAAGGTCCAACACCTTTGCCCCCAGCACCTTTGGAGACACAAGTGGATGACATGGCTGGGCAAAGGGCTGGGCAATGGTGAGGGACTTGGCCTCAGGAAGAGGTCTTTGAATCCTGGCTCTTCCCTCTGTAAGGTGAAAATTGGGATCCCTTGACCTTTTTCCCCACCTTCTCACCTCGATACTTTTCTAGCACGGAGGAAGAAATAGAAATGAAAGGAAGAAATAGAAATGCGAGGAAGAAATACAAATGAGAGGAAGAAATAGAAATGAGAGGAAGAAATACAAATGAAAGGAAGAAAAGGAGAGGAAAAGAATATATAAAGGAGGGAGCCAAAGGTCTTCTGGCACGGACAAGGTCTCCCAACGCCGGCGCTTACCAAACATAGCCAGGGCCCCCGCGCAACCTCGGGCCAGCAGCGAGTAGAGTAAGATGAGCTCCCTCTTTATTTGGCCTAGCTAAAAATAGCCGAGGAGGAGGAGGAGGACTAGCAGCAGTTGCCTTTCTGGTAAAGATAGATAAAATGGGCAGTGATTTCTGAGAAGGACAAAAGCTATGGTAAGTCCCATTAAGATCTGAACAAATGCTTCTAAGTGTTCTTAGAAATTAAAAATAAAATAAAAGAAAAAATCTCCCATTACTTACCATATGGAGTTGTTTTACATCTTGCTGGGAGGTCTTGACTATTTTATTTCAATGGTTGCATAAGCTCTCACTTCAGAATTCATTCACATTAATAGCTATCTAAGAGAAGGATGGACCTTTATCTTCTTCAGGGTGTATAGATTTTAGATTTTGTATGTATTTTTTTTAATGGGATTCACAGTAAAAATTTGAAGTAGTTTTCCTTCTTAGCTTTGTTGTTGGAAGCTGGGGGACTTCATCTGGGTAAGCAATGGTTGTCTTCTCTTTCCTTTTTTTTTTTTTTTTTCCTCCTCTCCAAGTGAGGACTAATGCCGTTCCTGGGCCTGCTCTCTTTTTCCCTTCCTGCATTAGAGATTGGCTATAAGGAGAAGGCTGACGGCTGCAGCATGAAGCGCATTATTACCTTGTGATTCCATGACCCTCCTCTATGCATCCCTAACTCTCGAAAGCTGATTCAGCTTTCAGCTAGTGCTCTGGTGAGTCCTCTGCTGCAACAGAACCTCCTAACTGGTAATTGTTTTTTTTTTTTTTTTTTTTTTTTTTTTTTTCTTGCCTCCTTCCTTCCTCTCCCCTCCTTCCCCTCTTCTGCTCCCTGCCTTGCCTTTAACCGCTACCGGCTCAGCTTGTTTTTAAACACTTTTTTTTTTTTATTTTTTCTGGCCAATGCAGGACCGAGTGCTCATCCAACTTACCCGGGGACTTAAATGTGGGCTTTTGCATCCGGCAAATGCGTGTGTGTGTGTGTGTTTGTGCCGCCTGTGTGTGTCTGTGCGGGGATGTGCTGGGTGTGTGTTTAATCCGTGGATGGGTTAGGAGACCTTCTCTTCTCCCCCCCCCCTTCCCCTCCCCTTCTTTTTTTGTTCTGCTGTGGCATACTCCGCATTTAAAAAAAGAAAAAAAAAAAAAAAAAAGCCCTAACAAACTGCAGAGCAAGCAGTGCACTAGAATAATCTGAACTGAAATGTTAGAACTTTGACATGCAGCCGTTCTGCAAGGTTAAACCGGCCTTTAAATGCCTAATTCAGACACAGGCTGGCTAATGACACCTGGGGGGATTGGGGCTTTATTTATTTATTTGCAACAAACTAGTGCTATGAGCTAATACCAGCCAGAGCAAAAAGGTGAAATGTGGTTAAACTTAGGCTAACTTGCCGTGATCTCGATGCTGCGGTGATTAACTGTTAAAATGCCGAGAAATGAGCGTTAATTACAGGCGCAAGGTTCGTGTACGATGGGGAAGGGAATATGAGGAGGAGGAGAAGTTGGGTTTTCCCTGCAAGGGTATGGAATTTGGGTTACACTTCATTCATCAACTGACTGCTATTGCTTCTGCAGCTCGGAGTTGACTGTGGTCGTTATATTTTATATGGTAGTGGTGATACCTAGTCACAGAAATAGACATGGGTGCTGTGAGGTGGATACTGCGCTACACACACACCTGCACCCACACCTCGGTGTGGTCCGTGGCATGCATGTGTGTGTTTTACACATCTTTAGACATAGGTATGTAAAAGCAGGTGTAACCTATCATCCAGATAGAGCACACCTCCAGGCTGTGTTTAGAGCATATATGGTTATATGTGCATCTCTGTGCCGGGGAGAGGCTACACCCACCCGTCGTGTGTGACTCCACAGGCAGGAATTGGGGTTTGTGCTGGTGGTTTAACTGCTGGGCTTCTCTGGAGGGGGTGGTCGTGTCTGTGGCCCCCAAGGACTGAGCCCCGTGCCTAGCCCCTCTGCTGGGGGTTGACCACTTGCCTCTCCCTTGCCTCCACTTGCCTCTCCCTTCCCCAGTGCCCAGCCTTAAATTCGGACTTGTCTTCTAAGTCCCCAAAGTTTTGTGCTGTGCTTTGCCACCGGGACACGAGCAGCACCTCGAGCCTGGGGCAGAGCAGGGATATCACACGCAGCGTCTTGCTGTCCATCCCTCCCACCATCCTCCTTCTCCCTCTGCCTCTAGGCTCTTCCCTTCCCTTTTATTTTTTTGCCCCTTGGCCTCTGCGCTCTCCAGGGCTTCATCCATTTTCTCCCCAGACCAGGCAGAGGTTTATTGCGCATGTTCTTCTGCTCAGAGCCAGCCCAGGAGCTCAGTGAGCCCGGGTGGGTGGAGGACGTTGGGTGACACTCGCCCACCACCACTTACTCCTGGTGGCAGCCACAGGACGGGAACCACAGGGTGCCTCTGGTGTCACCATCAAAAGCACCATCACACCTTGTATCTGCTCCTCCACCGAAAGGCACAGCGCTGGAGAGCGGGAGCTTCCACACGGAGCCTCAAAGCTAATTTAAATCCTCAGGTTTTGATGAACTTTGCTGCCGTGGTTGTCTCATTGTCTTCAGTTTTAGCAAGGATTTAAAAGGTCATTTTTTCAGCCCTCACATAGTGCTCTCTGTAGTGGCCGGCAGCCACTGTCCCGCTCATCGGCAGAAGTTGGGGACCATTTGGGACGGCCTATATCATTTAAAGATATATTATTTAAAGATAGCAAATTGGGTATGAGTTGCAGATGTTTAATGGTCTGAGAAGCCCAGTAGCTGTCCCGCTGTTGTTGGTGTGAAGGAAATTCAATACCATGGAGTGCCTTGGCTGTGCAAATCCCCGCCCCAGCACTTTGATTTCTGTTGGTTTGTTGGTTTGGGGTTGGTTTTTTTTGAATTTGAAGCACTCAGACTTTCCCACACACCCCTCAGCTCCCCCTTGGCTTTAATTTCCCTGCAGTCATGCGGTGCCACAGCTCCATCTCCCTTCCCCTCCACCCAAACCAAAGGGTGAAATTCACCTGGAGAATGAGACACACGGTGATGGTCAAAAGGGCCAAGAAACTCTGGGGATGGAGGGGAGCAGCTCGGAGCCGCGGCATGTTCTGGTGTTGTGTGAGGGGTGTAAAGCCCTTTTGGGGGCTGAACTCAGTGGATTTACACCCCGGCTCCGCGTGGCCTTTGCTTTTCGGTGGTGCCAGGAGTCGATGGGGAGCGGGGAAAGATTTACTGCCCGGCTGGCAGCGATATTTGGAAAAAGCAGTGGGAAAAGCATCGAGGCAATTAGGTATTCCGGAGTGCTTAGTTTGCCACTTGCTAAGTTTACTTAAACCCTCTTTAAAGGGTTCATTAGAAAGACGGCGAAGGAGCGGTAAAATTCATTAAGGCGAAGGCAGCCAGCCCGCAATTTGCCTGTAAATTGGTATCGATCGATCAGGCGGGGGCGAGGGCCGCAGGTGAGCGGCTGCTGAGCGAGCAGGCAGTGCCCGGCCTGCCCCCCGCCCTCTCCTCCTGCCCAAAATCCTCCCCGGAATAACTCTCCCATTCAACCCCCAGCGCCGTTCCGCAGCCCGGCCGCTCGCCCCACATTGTCCGGGGGAGATTTAAAGGCCGGCGTGGC